CAAGTTTGTGACCCAGGATCATGTCGCACCACGCGCCTCCTCGCGCATGTACATAGAGACGAACTCGAATGCGGTCGCATTCTTGATCTACAACAGGCTATATCGCCTCTGCTAAGTTACCAGACAATCAGTCATGGTAACCCAAACGCTCAAGCGGATTTCATGAACTTCTTCATGATAAACTGGCTGAGCACGCAAGTGGCCTTCCATGGGTCTTCATTCTTCATCCAATATTGGAATTGGGCCCCCTGGATCTGGGCGCGAATGAGCTTGGAACCAGCTCTGGTGCTTTGGTTGAGACTGAGTCGGTCCTTGATGTACCTCCAGGCGCGATCGATAATTTGGGTACCAGCCTTTGTCTTTAGCGTCTTGTTCTTGTCCACTGTGTGGGTCGTCACCTTGACATAGTTGGGCATCTGCCACTTCCACTTCCCGTTCACCTTCACCCTCTTTTTGCAATGGACGACATTGTCGTGCTTGACCCCCTCGACTCGTGTCTTGTAGCTGCGGGCCGAATCCGTATGGAAGATGATGTTGCGTCCTTCCAAATACTTCTTACCCAGAGGCTGCCACTCAACCTTCCGGATGGGGCCTGGTCCTGGAGCTCGCTTCTCCGTAGTGGGTGGCTTCAACCGCTCCAGGATCAAGCTTTCCGGTCGTCCACGCTCGATCAAGCCGCACCATTGCTCCCACAAGACGGGCTTCTGGGAATCAACAGAGTCATCGATGTTGCTGATGTCGGTTTTTGCGAAGCTGGCCTCGTCACCCTCCACGTCTACCCATATCTTACGACCTCCAAGTCGGATCTCCTTCTGCTTGGCAATGACATACTCCTGGCGTGAGTAAGCCAACCTAGTGGCCATGTCTTCCGTGAACTTGTGGTTGATGTTCATGACCTGATGCACCGCAGCATTGGAGACATTCTGCAAGTTCAGAAAGAGAACAGCAGCCTGTGTCTGCAGTGGAGTAGCCGAGGAACCGCGGCCATCAGTGAAAAAAGGATGAAGATGTTGCGGGGACATGTAGATGTGACACTTTTTGTGACTACAGCGGTATTTGAGCTCGCCTTGGGGGGACTTCATCAAGTCGGAGAGCGTCCCCTTCTCACACCT